AAGGGATCAGATGGCGGTACACTGTAGGAAGGAACGTTTGGACAAAATAACAAGTTAGGCGGGAAAGTTTTAACCTTTGGAAGAGTGGCTTGGTAAAAACTGGAGCAGGAGGTGGCCGTTCTGGTGGAAGTGGTGGGTAAGGATGCTCTGCGGTTGGATAGGACTGTGGTGCAGCTGCATTGGAACTTGCGTAGTTGTTTGTTTGGTAATCTAAAAAAAACATTTTCGACTTATTTTTAATTTGTACAATTTTCCTCCTTTTTTATATATTCTATAAGTGTAGTAAACGGTATCTCGTCTACGAAGTGAGCGTTCAAAAAATTCCTTTTCAAGAATAATTTCGTAATATATAGGAGAAAAGTGAGCAGCAGTAGTCGTTCATGAAGCCTTAAATGTTTCACAACAGTCAGAATTTTTTCTATCTTTAAGAAGACTTGGCATCAGATAAATTTTTGAATCTGATTTTGAGTCTTACGATCGCAAATCTATACTTAGAACTCTTTAGGAGAAATAAACATCAGTGTTCGCTGGTACAAACATTGCAGAAAACAAGTTCAGATTCAATTTTGCAGAGGAAAAGAGTTTTGGGCAGTCTTGTTTGAAACAAATGAATAGCCTATTTGTAAAGGTGAATGGAGTTATAGCGAAGCGCAAAAGAATAAGGGAATGAAATTCAAAGTTGAGAACTTAGGTGAACTCACCATTTGCCTGCACTTCCTGACCTTGTTGATATCCTGGATACTCAGTGGCATAGTTCTGGGAATATTGTGAGTAGTCGTAAGCTGCGGTTGGATATTGCTGCTCAGCACTTTCCGGTATTTGAGGAGTTACAGCGTATTCACTAGGTTGTGGACTAGGACTATAATCCTGTAACCCAATATGTGGTTCACTATATTCTTCTGTTGTTTGATCATATCCAGCATGTGCTTGATAGTATGAGCCATTCTGATATGGGGTATCCACTTGTACGGTTGCATTGGTATCGTAGTATTGCTGTGTGCCATAAGCACTTGCAGTTTGATCGTAACCAGCTGTGGTCTGGCCGTAAGGTGTAGCTGTTTGATCATAACCACTACCAGCTTGTCCGTAAGCGGTTGCAGTTTGATCATAACCAGCTGCAGCCTGATTGTAACCGCTAGCGTTCTGTGGGTAGCCGCCTGCAGTTTGATCGTAGCCAGCGTATGAAGCCGTCTGATCGTACTGATAGTTGGCCTGTTGGTCATACCCCGTCTGTTGATCGTAACCTGCGGTTTGACCGTAATATTGTTGGGCAGACTGGTCGTAAGCTCCATTAGCAGGCTGTTGATAACTTGCAGTCGTGTACTCATCGTTCTGATCGTAAGCGTAGGTTGTTCCATAGGTACTTGAATAGGCGTAGCCGTCGGCTGGAGCGGCACCACTAGAAAGGGTTTTTGTATCATGAAATACTTGTAAATAGTTCAGTAAAAGAATGTTGATAATGAGCATTTGAATATGAGCTATCCAGACACTTTGGATGTTCGCACATGAATTCAATTGAAAAACACAGATTAAAGAGCATTTGGAAAAAGTCTTTAGTGAAAAAGTGCTTCAAATCACATACCAATTAATTCGTTCGCTTCCTTCCTCAAGAACGAACTTGGAAGTTAACACTTGGGCAAGTTAATAAAAGCAAATGATAAAATCAAAGCAGAATTCCAATAATTCCACTATTACCAAGGCTTGTCCACAATTGTTAAGGTGACCCAGATTTTCTAATTTATGTACTCTTAAAATTAAGGGTACTTCTCCACTTTCAAATCAAAATGAAAAAGATTTCGAAGCTCCCCATGCCGAAGAAAGCTAGACAAAAAATGCTTGGTTTCACATTTGTTTCATTCCTTTCTGAAGCGAGATTCATTTCTAACAACCACGATAGTAAGCAAGTAATCTTGAAAATGCCGCTCTATTGTTCTATGCTTGGTTTACCTTTGAAATATACTCTCTAAATCCATTCGCTTTAAATATGGCTCTTTCTGTAGGGCTAAAAAAGCACGAAGTTTCATCAGTGAAAGAAAACCTCAAAATAGACGAAAGCTATTCATTCTAGCATTTGACCTGTTATGTTGTAATGTAAGGGTAAAGTAATCTGACTATTTATTCCAACGCTCTATTTCCAAGTTTGAAGGTCATTATTTGTTGAAAAAGTTCGACTGCTGATTATTTTTAATAATGATGTATTTGTTTATCAAAATGAACAGGAATCACAGCATTTCAAAGATACTTTGTTCAACAAACCTGTAGTCATACTGGTAATTCTCTTGATCGTATCCAGCGTGATAAGCAGCTGCTTGGGCGGGGTCGTAATTCGGGTCCACATCCCATTGTTGCGTTTCAAAGTTCCATATGTAACCTGAAGCATTGAAAAGGATAGAGTTACCGTATGTTTCTGCTGCGAGATTGAATCTATTGTCATTAATTTGATTACTATGAGAAAAATCCATAGAATGAACAAGGTTAGCAGGCTTACGAGCGAAATAATGAGGTTTGTCGTGAGTAATAACTTACTTGTGCACAACAACTAAAAGAAAAGTGGATAGATAAAAACTTTTTGATAAGTATGAAACATAGCGAATAACAAGAAGCATAAACAAAATTTGCAAGGAATGATTTGTTCGACTAATTTCGAGTACTTCTTCCAGGAATCCAGTTGTTAGAAAATTAGATTTAACTTGGAGTCGAGGTTGTGGAAAGAGCACTGAATAAGCAAACAAAAGTTACTATAGAAATATCAGATAATCAGAAATAGTGCTATTGTTGAAGATTTACAGTGCAAAAGATTTAAAGAAATTAGTAAACTTAAGTCCCTTCAAATCATAAAAAAGGAACGCAAAAAAAGACTTTGAAAATAATGAGAGCACATAATAAAGATTTAAACTTGTAGAAAATACACAAAGAACTCGTACACGATCTTGTTACTTTTCAATTAAATAACATGAAATTACTTGACATCAAAATAAGGCATTGCAGATAAGATGCGAAAGAAAAGTTATTGCGCTTTTTGTAAGCTATCGTTAATAGATTACATTTCACAAAGTAAAATGTTTCAGTGAAAAAGAAACTATTCCATATTGTAGATTGAAAAATTTTAAAAAAACCTATAGACACAGCATGAATAGTAGGAAATATTTCTGAAAAATCTGTTTGATGTACAAACCTTCAACACTTTACTAGCTTTTTCAAGGTATGGACAGGTGGAAGCCGAAATCTCTTGAGAGAAGTTCAAGAAATTTTTAAAAAGTAAGAGTCCACTCTACCGGGGTAAGCGTTCGGATCATAACCCAATTCCTGATTTTCAACCTCTGACCCTTCTGTCGGCTCATGTGAGACAACTGCAGCTTCTGCACTCTTCTCTTCATCTGAACGTAAAAGTCTTAGGATTTTTT